AAGTAATTCCTTTGGGTTTTATCCTCTGTTCGTCTCATAAATTCAGACTCCAATTTGAACTGTTGTGAAATGTATTTTAACAATTGCGAAATTTTGCTGCAGACTGAATTCAGAGCCCATCACTATTCACCCTTCACCTCCAGCAAATCGCTCACGCCTGACAGAGCAGGCCGTCTGCCATGCAGAAGCCAACAACCACCTTACTAATAAAGAACAGCTTAAAATACAATAATTTAAAGAACAATTTAAAGTTAGAGACCAAAAAATCCCCCAAAACACCTTACAATCCCTTCGTGAGAAATGACACCCGCCAGTAAGCAGAAGCGGTCAGGAGTGCAAGAGGCTGAGGCTGCAGCTGCTGGGCTGGGGGTTAGTACCTGGCTGAGGGGGGGGAGGTCAGGAGTATCCGAGGAACAGCTGCAAGAGGGACCCAGCAAGACGAAAGAAGGGAGGGAGGAGAGGGGCCCAGCGCGTTTCTTATAGCGTGTTCGGGAGGTGAGGTTTAGGAGAATAATGAGGTACAGTAACTACTCGAACCCTTACATGAGCTTTGCTAGGCTCTTTAAAACCGAGCGGGAGATTTCACGTTTACCAGAAACCAGCTTCATCGGGGGTGAAGATAAAAGAATTCAACTAAAAGGGGGGCTGAGGTTGGGCGATGGCCTGGGTTGAAAAGCAAGAGTTAGAGAGAGACCGTGGGATTATGTTCCATTTTTACAGCTCATCCTCTCCGTACCATACGATACAAGTGCATGATAGCCTCCCAAAGTCACTGCATTCCTACAAGCTCCTTCAGCTCTGATGCAGTACAGGCTTAGCAAGCTCTAATGCGTTAATCAGTTAGGGGCAACGGTGGCGCAGTGGAAGGGGCCCTGGGTCAATGCCCAGGGAGCTGGTCAGCTGGGAGTTTGCATGTTCTCTGCGTATTAACATAGGTTTTCTCCCTCAGTCCAAAGACATGCAGCTAGGTTAATTGTCCTCTGGGAAAATCAGCTCTCATGCGAGTATGTGCATGTCTGTGGTTGGTCTGTGTGCCCTGTGATGGACTCGTGTCCCGTCCAGAGTGTACCCTGCCTGGCCCCCGTTGCTTGCTGGGATAGGCTCCGGCTCCCCTACAACCTGGTACTGGATAAAGCATTCAGAAATGGATGGACTGAATCTCCAAGCGCAGTATTAACTTCTGCTTGTTGTTCTGGCACACTGAAGCCACGCTGCTTGTGCCAGCTGCCATGGTGAACACCAGAGGGAACTTCCGTAGTTATGGTTCACAACTCTCCCCTCTCTCCCTCCCTGGAAAGCAGAAAAATACAACAAAATACCCTGGCCTTCTCAACCTCTCAGCCCCGCAAATGAAACCAGGCCTCCTTTCTCAAAGCCGTTCCAAGCAGACAGCATTTCAGTCTGGCGCTTCAGTATTTTCTCTGCCCTGAAATCAAGCCTTTATACACATACATATGTACAGGAGTTCGGGGGGGGGGGGGGGGTCAGCTGCATATAAGATAGAGCTCATTCCCCATTAAGAATCGGCAGTGAGGTACAAGAGCCCACCTCCGTCCTGCTCTCATCTGGCGGCGGCCCTGCGCGTTCGCAGTGTGTGAGTCACCCGCTCCCAACAGTGCGACCAGCACACCCTTCACACAGACGCGCACGGGAGCAGGGAGGCGAGCTCTCCATTGAGCCACTCCGCTCTTCACAAGCGGCGTGCCAGCTACCCGGGGGCATTCCTGCAGCATCCGGCCCAGTGCAGGCTGGCTGCCTGCCGCCCCCGGGACTCCAGCGGCCTCTCGGGTCAGCACACGGCGGGACCCCAGGCCCCGTTCCAGAAACACAAGACCGGTTAACGCAGCCCCCCTCTACCCCCCTTGACACAACGCCCACAGACGAGCAGCTCGGACATGGAGGCGGGCGGGGAGTCCCAGCTGGAGAGGGCACGGCCCCACCCGGCCCCCCGGGGACAGCGCAAAAGATAAGCCGAGTCACCTCCTCTCCTGCCGGGGGACGACACCCCCCCCGAATCTCTGACTGCAAGGCCTCTCGCCGGCGCTGCCCAGTTCCCATGTGCCCCCACTCACTCACGCCAAACAGTGCAACCTCCCGCCTTCGCTGCCCGCCGCGGTGATGTCAGGTTCAAACCGAGGACGGCAGGCACCCACGAACCGCGAGGGGCCGACACCTGGCATCAGCACCCCCGAAACGCCCCCGCAGCTGCGGACGACTGCCCCGGCACAGGTACCCCCCGGCCTCCTGCCTGCCGGGACGCCGCCGCCGCGGCCGCGACACAGTAAGAGCCACACCGCCAGGCTGGCGTGCCGCGGGGAAGGTGCCGAGCGCCCTCAGCAGCTCTCTCTAAGCGGCAGTAAACTGGGACACGGGTGACCTGTAAGCAAGCGGATGTTTCTGCTCAGGGAGGGGGTGGACGAGAGGGTGTCGGCCGATATGGTGGTCAGACGGGGGGAGGAGTGAGACAAAATTAATAATAATAATTATAATTATTATTATTATAATTACTTGCACTTATATAGCGCTTTTCTGGACACTCCACTCAAAGCGCTTTACAGGTAACGGGGACTCCCCTCCACCACCACCAGTGTGCAGCCCCACATGGATGATGCGACGGCAGCCATAGTGCGTCAGAACGCTCCCCACACATCAGCTATCAGTGGAGAGCAGAGTAATGTAGCCAATTCATAGAGGGGGATTATTAGGAGGCCATGATAAGTAAGGGCCAATTGGAAATTTGGCCAGGACACCGGGGTTACACCCCTACTCTTTTCGAGAAACACCCTGGGATTTTTAATGACCACAGAGAGTCAGGACCTCAGTTTTACGTCTCATCCGAAGGACGGCGCCTGTTTACAGTATAGTGTCCCCATCACTATACTGGGGCATTAGGACCCACATGGACCGCAGGTAGGGAGACATTTTAAATTGTGGTCATACCTGAAGGCTGAAGAAACTACACTACCGTGGCAGAGTGAGCAGGTAGGTTTAGGTACCAGCACGGTTCACATTTGCCACCAGCCATATCACCCTGCAACTCACCACTAGCAGCCCACTGAGGCTCAGCAGGTGTGAGCCTGGCCCAGTACTGGACAGGAGATCTCCTGGGAAAGCTAAGGTTGCTGCTGGAAGTGTCAGTGGGGCCAGTAGGGGGCGCTCACCCTGCAGTCTGCATGGGTCCTAATGCCCAAGTACAGTGATGGTGACCGCAATATTGTAAAAGAGCACCGTCCTTCGGGTGAGACGGAAGACAGAGGTGGTTATTACGAATCCAGCGTCCTAGCCAAAAAAAACATCCCCCTGGTATTAAACGATCATAGTCTCCTAATAATCCCCATCTGTGAGCTGGCTTCACCATTCTGTTCCTTCTCCCCACTGATAGCTGGTGTGCGGCGAGAGTACTGGTGCACATTGGTGTTGGTGGTGGAGGGGGGTGCCTATTACCTGTAAAGCGCTTTGAGTGGAGTGTCCAGAAAAGGACTGTATACGTGTCAGTAATTACGAATACTTACAGTGTGTGTGTGTGTGTGGTTGCGGGGGTTGGGGAAGACGATCACGCAAGAAGTGAGCGGTGTATTGTAGCAGCGATCCAGGGGAACTGCGAGCGCGAAGACGGCATAGTGACCGGTTCAGCGGGTTTGCAGCCCGCACTGCGCTTGCGTGCCCGGCTGGCGGCGGAGGAGGACGCGGGTAGTTTGTTGTTTGTTTAAAGGGGTCTGGCAGGGCACCGCTGGGCTTTAAACTCGGGGGGCGGGGGGGCAAGGAGAGAGGGAGAAGGGGGATGGGAAGCGAAAACGCGACCCCCCGAAAACTGTAATTCATCACTTCGTGAAACTCGTCTGAAAAACGGGGGGTTAGACTGTCTGAAGAGAGCGCTCCCCACTAATATCACCGCGGCACGGCTGTGGCCTAATCCGAGCGTCGCATCCGCCAGCTTCCAAATAATTCAGACAAAAACCGTGACGACCCCCCCACACACACAAAAAAAAAAGAAAAGATGAAAAGGCAAGCCTACAACTCGTTTATTTTGGCAGGCGAAGAGTGGAAGAGTGCACAAGCGGCTTCTGCAGCACTGCTGCCACCATCCTGATAGAGGGGGGGTTAATATCGAGGGGGGAAAAAGGTTCAGACGCTAACTCTACCGTTAACGGGACGAAGTGGTATTGAGCAGGACGCTGTCCTTGCAGTAAGGCAGAACACGTCGTCGGTACAGGAACACGACCACCAAAGCGGAATATTAGTGGGATTAGGAATGATACCGGCGTGAGGATTTCTGTTCAGTACCGAAAGTGCACACCCACAACACAGTACCGACTCCCTGGCCGTATTAGGCTCTGTATCTTCGATGGCACGGCTGCTCCCCACGATCCTTAGCCCCAGAATTGCGCTATAATCAAGCAAATTACATTTAGATATCGCCTTAATTTAATTGCACGCCCTGCCCGAGACCAGTCCTTCGAAAACGTCTTCAAAGTGTAACCTAGACCACAATACACACTGCATACGTATATGTATATTTCTGTGAGCACACTACAAAGCGGACACGGGAAAGAGTTCCACTTAAAAACACAAATTCCCCCCACCCAGCCAACCAGTTACTGTACAAACACAAGCTTTACACAGTAAAGCGTGAAGTTGGAGCTCAGTACGCCCACAGCACACGGGGCCTAAGCAGACGGGCCACCTCTCCTCACATTTTTAAAATGCCCATCATCTGCGTTTTGAGGCGGGATGACATTTTTATACGTTTAAAAAGCAAACAGAAAATCAGATCTGGTCTCTCTCCGTTTTGCTCACAAGGATCTGGGCTCGGCGAGAGCGCCGAGCTGTGTGCCTCCACAAGTGGTATGAAAATGACGAGAAAACACACACAGGTGGTCGCGCAGGTTTTGTCCGCGGAGAAAGACGCCCTCCGACCCCCGTCGAAAAGACCAAGGTGAAACCCCACATCGCTTCCCACCCGAGACGGCTTGGGAGAAGAGGAAGACACGTCGACTCACCGTGGAAAAGCGTCCTCATTCACAGAAACACGACCCGATTTTTTTTTCTCTCTGAAGAACTTTTAAGAAATTGTCGGTCTCATTCGGCTCCTCGACTTCTCAAGTCCGTGGCCACTCGGTTGCGGAAAAAAGCGAAATAAATCGAACAATCACGCCGACTTGTACTGAGCTGGGGGGGAGCAAGTTGATTACAAAAATACAGCTAGCCTGTCTCCAAGAAAAATGAAAAAAAGCCTAATATTATCCCCCCCCCCCGTCTCCAAATCGACACAACTAAATCGCCCGTGGGAAGCAAGGTAAAACGAGGAAAAGGGAGAAACTATACATATATAAAATGAAATGTTTCTTTTAAAAAAACACTAAAGAATAAAGCCCCGGGTTTAAACTAAAAGAGAAAAGAAAGAAAACACCATTCCCCTCGGCTCCGGCTTCTCTGCGCAGCGCGTCACCGCTTCCTGTGCAAGTGAACTACGTCAGCATTTCCTGTGTACTTCGTCTCGGCGCCTCATTGGTTTTTTGAAGTCTCCCGTTACGTCATATTCCCCTGCGGTTTGCAACAGCAGCGCATCGATGCATGTGTTTTACATATATAAAATGGATCTGAAAATATATTTGCATTGAAAACGTAACTTCAAGCTAATCGGGGTCTTTAATTATATTCATTATTTTGACATATCTGAGATGCAAACAGTTTCATGAATAACCCCCCTCTGCTTAACAATCATGCGGCTAATAATACTACGTACCACTAATTATATTTTCGTGATTGAATTATGTTTTTGGTAGAATCAAAAGCGTTTTAGCGAACTTGATCCGTTGTAATTTTATGGAATGCTCACGGGAAGGTTCATTGAGATCCACAGAGCGTTTCATTTACTAAAACCCCGGGGTGATCAGCCAGTCGGGCGCGTGGAACAGGAAAAGTCGAAATTGGGATTTTCCGCGAGATGTCTGGCTTTTGGCGCAGTATGGCACTCGTGACCCGCAGCTAAACTTTGCGCCTCTGCGCCCTTTGTAATCTAATTGGACTTAAAGCAAGAGCCTACATCTGGCTTCTGGTTATAATAAACAACTTCATTGTGTACAGTGCCTCTAAAAGTTGCATCTCAAAGCGCTTTACGCCAGGTGTAAAAGAAGTTAAAGGAAAACAGTTCTAAGTAAATATAAGTGTAAATGAGAAAGACAAACAGAAATGCAGCAGAAGACATATGGTCATTGGAAAACCTGTTAACACTAATGAAGTAAAAGCCTTTCGTTTCTAGTTCTGATATCACTAACACACTTTCAAACATTCTAGAAATATCTGATCTTTTCAGATCAGGGATAATTCCCAAGGCGACAGAAGAACATCACACCAAGTGCTGTAACTGCAGGATCAGGAATAAGTCTGGATTACACTTTCTGGCCAACAGGGGTTTAATTAAGACTTAATGCCTGTGACCCAGTTATCTGGAACCGGAAGACCTCAGGCAGGAAAATTCCTGAGCTGTCGAGTGTCCCGGGTTTGTGTTTTATTATCTGTAGTCAAGGTTACCACTGCAGAGACAGGCCTGGTGATGCCTTGTGCTGTACATCTTCGGCTGCAATTTTGGGCAGACACTTTGCCAATCAAAGTCCCTGCCTCTTCATAACCAAATAAACACCTTGACAGGGGCTTTTAAAATGCCTCGAAATTGCCTGGTAAAACTTATTCGTCTGTACAGAACTGATAGGATGAGAGGGGACTAGAATCAACATTGAAACGCAAGTGGAAACTACTGGGAAGATCATTTAAAACCGAGGGAGGGGGGGAGGTGCTTCTTTACCCAAAGGGTGGTAGGGGCTTGGAACAAGCTACCCAGCCAAGTTGTTGAAGCCGACATACTGGCTTCTTTCAGGAAATGGCTCGGTGAGATCCACAGAGCAATGAGCTACCAAGTATCCAATGGACTCAATGATCAGAGTGGCCTCCTCTCGTTTGAAACCTTTCTCGTGATGTTAGTTGCCCCAGTTGGGATCCACCTCCTGGGCGGGTCGAGGGTGGTGGTGGTGGTGCTGCCATTTACCATCTGTCTCTCCAGAATCTGCATTTTGGGGACCCTTGGATTACTCCAACCCAGAAGCCCATGAGCCTGCTAGACCACAGCAGCATTCTAGTGCCCTGAGTCTCCCACCTTCTCACGCTTTGCATGGGGAGCTGTAGGTGGCAGGGTGGGGCAGAGCGGCCGGGCAGCAGTGAAACACTCCCACACTTTACATAGATATTTTCCTTAACAAGCTTAAATGGGGCGGTGCAGTGGCTCTGTGGCTAAGGATCTGCGCCTGTGGCTGGGAGGTTGCTGGTTCAAATCCCATGGCTGGCAGAGGAATCCTACTCCGTTGGGCCCCTGAGCAAGGCCCTTTACCCCAACTGCTCCAGGGGCGCCGTATAAATGTCTGACCCTGCGCTCTGACCCCCAGCTTCTCTCCCTGTCTGTGTGTCTCATGGAGAGCAAATTGGGTTATGCAAAAAGACAAATTCCTAATGACTGGACCAGGAGACTGGACTCCTCCATAGCAGTCTGTCCCTGAAAACCTAATGCAAGAATCTGCCACAAAAAGCTGCCTTCCACCCTCTTCCACACCGGGTGGAGCAGGGACGGTAACGCAGTGAGTCCACTGCAGAAAGGTCCTGAATTGACCTGTCCCACCAAATGTCCCACCAGATGTAGGCTTAGCCTCTTTGAGGCTCTGCAAACAAACTAGGTGTCAGCCTGCTACTGTAGAGACAGAGACTTATCAATTCCCACAGTTCCCAAGGACAGCACAGAACTACTCATTTTCTCAATCAGACACAGTCATCACGATCTTTGGCAGCTCTCTTCTTAAAATAATTGCATTAAGGGGTATTTTGAAGGGAACTGGAAAAAAAAACAGACTTTGTCCCAAGGATCAGATAAATAGACTAGTTGTTTCATGGCGGCATGATGCATCACAACCCACTTGAGTGCAATATGTTTTCTGATGTGTTATAAATGTTACATGTGGGTTACATGTGGGTATGTGTTATACCTGTGCAATAGAGTGATGTGCAATGTTATTCTTATTTTTTGTAATAGAATAAGGTGCAGTGTTTTTCTTTTCTTTTTTTTGTTTGCATTCTTGTACAGGAGTGCTGTGCGTCCAGAAAACATTTTCCCTCAGGGGACAATAAAATCTTATCTTATCTTATCACACTGCTGCCTCTCAGCTCCGGTGTGTGATTCCAGATTGGGGTGCCTTTTTGTGTGGAGTATGCATGTTGGTTCCGGGTGGTCCAGTTTCCTTTCCTTGTAGATGGCAGCCCACCCCATTATTCTGTCCTCCCAGTCCGACCCCAAACGCCGGTGACAGGGTTCAGATAAACGAGGTCGGATGATTAGACGCTGCAGCAAGGGAGAGCTCGGATCAAGTGCAGAGAGCAGTGAATGCCTGAAAGCAACGTGTCCCTGTGGGAAATACACTGGATACACTGCATGCAATAGAAATTCTTCCTCTAAGAATACTTTGCATTACAAATGTGGGCTCATTGAGTATGATGGATTAGTGGCTGGCTGAGAATTGTTGGTGTGACAGGAAAACATACTGGAACATTGAAGACTTTTCTGCTGGCGGTGTGGCAGGGTAGTGGTCAGCATTGCTGCCTCACGGCGCTGGGGGCCCGGGTTCAAGTGCAGATCTGTGGGGAGTTTGCACGTTCTCCTTGGGTGTCCTCCGGGTGCTCTGGTTTCCTCCCACAGTCCAAAACCGTGCTGGTAAGTTAATTGGCTTCTGGGAAAGTTGGCTGTGAGTGTGTCTGTCTTTGTATGTGTGTGTGTGTGTGTGTGTGTGTGCCCCTGTGATGGAGTGTCCAGTCCAGGTCCCACCTTTCACTTTATACTTGCCGGGATAGGCTCTGGCTCCCCCATGATGTTGGAATGGATCAGATGGATGTTTCTGCATGAAGAAAAACGGCGATATTCTGACGTTCAGCTACACCTGAGGCGCGTGGTGATGAACGTTTGAAAGCAATGACGAGACGTTTCCGTCATAAGTTGACCTTTCAATGAAAAGCCCCGTAGTAGTAGTGGTTCTTCCTCCCTTTAAATTAATTTAAAACCTAGTTTCTCTCCACTAGGTGGAAGTAGACTAAAGGAGTGTATCTTTCTGACTGAGGCGCTGTAGGAATTGTTGTCTGCATTGCGAAAAAGGTTTATTTGTTAACCACAAGGCGGCGCCAAAAACGTTGTTGTGCAAACAAGTGCAACAGCGGCGCAACATAATACAAATATTTACTCGTCAGCTGACAGCCTTAAATTTAAGCTTTTCCTGGCAGAACCTTCCCAGAATATTTACAGTATATTTACCCAAAGCCCAGCTGGTTGCAATGTGCCTCTTACTGTATACTGTGCCTCTTATGTTTTTGACTGCTTTTAAATTTTACTGTTGTTTTTTTTTTCTACACAGTAAGGCAGTTGATTTTACACTGTGTGGAAATTTGGATATCTGATTTCAGGTTGTAGCGTCTGTTGTGTTTCTCTACTGGGTGCCCTGTCCCTCCCTTCAAGCTGTCATTCATGTAGAGAACACTCATCCAAGACCATAGCAGTCACCCACACCTGCCCTGTGACACAAGCACACACACACACACTCAGCTGGACACTGGGGTGTATTCCAAATCAGACCTGTCTCAACTCTTCCAGGTGCTGCACCTCATTCTGTGAGAGCTAAAAATTCAGGGACAAAGATACTCATGTTTCAAATGAGCGAGTAGATGTTAAAGACCCTTAAAAGTCCATGACTTTTTTTCTTATGGATTGGTACTATGTGATAAATGGCTCAATACTATGGGTGCTGGAACCACACTCCAGTACAGCCCTGGTTCAGACTCAGGACCCACAGAGCATGGCAGAGCACTACCAAGGAGAGGTGGGCATTGATTGGCAGGGATCTTCTGGGCTTCCTAGCAAGATGGTTTCCCAAAGCCTGTGACTTGCCAGGTGCCGGTGGGCTCGCGGTGACATCATCAAGTGATGGCATTCGGGAGCGATGACGTCATCGGTGCCCCCCCCCCCGTCAGCTCTTGCTCCCTCACCATCGGGTCCTGCGGGTGCCCCCTCTCCCGTGCCCTGCAGGGACGACAGCCGCAATCCCAGTCTTGAGCACCTGAGCACCGCGGGTCAGGGTGGTAAATGGCAGCAAAAGAAATGCTGGTAGCAGCGGCGCTGTGGCAGAGGGTGGCACAGCGTCATGGCGGGCAGGGCTGTGGCACGACTGCAGGATCGTTTCCAGCAGGAGTGTCGCTGCTCCGACCGTCCTCCCCACTTTACCGCATGAGAGGTGGATGTAGTGTGAAGACATGGGGCTGGCGTGACCTGCTACAATCTCACAGCTCTTGGTGAACCAGTGTCATCCGCACCCCTGGGTGGCAGCTCATCACCCTCCTGTCCCGCTGTCCCTGCCTCTCTCCACAGGCCTTATCACCTCGGGCCTGAGACACCCAGCACAAAAAAAACAAGAAAATACAGGAGAGTGGATGCCATTTCCACGGTCTTCCACTGCTTAAGGCAGACGCAACAGCTCTGTCAGGTGGACATCACCCAGGCTGAGTCTAACCCGTCTACCCTTCCTGAACCCCATCACTTCACAGCCCGGCATGCAGAGAGCGCAGCAGGCCAGTGAGGCTCTGCCGCAGGTCACGTCAGCCGCACGGGCGACGCCGGCCAGGAACTCTAGGCGACGTGGTTTATGGATCGGTGATTTCATCTCACTTATCTCCGATTCCGCCTCCTTGCAGTCACTCGCAGCGCCGGGCTGCACGACCTTTGTGCTCATTACCCCTGGGGGAATTGTCACTTTTCCCAGAGTCACAGGTACGCATTGCATCATGTTTGCGACACACGTGCTGCCTGCCTGCCCTCTCTTTCCAAAACCAACTCTTTGGAAAGAAAGTGGAAAAAAAAAAAAGCGAAGGGCAAACGATACAAACAGAAGTACTTTTGTACTTTGAATTCCAACATGTAACCCAGGTCTGATTGACGGGCCAGTCTGAATCATCCCCGTGCCAGAGCCGCGGGGATCGCATCTTCCCTCACAGGAGGGTACAGTAGACAGTCTTATGACCTCGCCTCCGCTCTTACATATATAAGTCAAGTGGCGGCTGCTCTGAGATGGTCATTGGTGCGCTCCTCGAACGTGTCACAACCTTTGGTGTGGATTACCCCAGATCTTTCACGCCCCGGGCAGACAAGACGCGGCTGCAGGTGTGGAGGAACTCAGCGGGTCTGACAAGCCCCCGGGACCCAGAGACTCGCGTCGGCTCTCAGCTCGGGTTAGGTTTTGACTCCGTGGTCTCGGCTTGGTCTCAGTCCGCTTTCGGTCGCACCGGTGGGGCTGTGAATGAAAACGGAACCACGCCGTCGGCTCGAATCCATGCTGCCGAAGTTGTCCCTAGTGATGCTGCTACCACCCCGCGCAGAGCTCCACGCTTACAAGGTCGGCAACAGCAAAATGCAGTCCTGGTGCCTGTCCGCTCTCCTCCTGCTGGCGCTGGCGGTGCTGGAGGGGCTGGCCGCCGCGTCCCCCGAGCAGCACGGCGCCGACGAGTCCCGCTGCCCGTCCTGCGGCATGCCAGCCCTGGACAAGGGCTCCGAGGAGCAGCTGCTGACAGAGATCGCCAAGCAGCAGATCCTCAGCAAGCTGCACCTGAAGGAGCGACCCAACATCACTCACGCGGTGCCCCGCGCGGCGCTGGTCACGGCGCTCCGAAAGCTGCACGCGGGCAGAGTGAGGCAGGATGGCACGCTGGAGCTGGGCAACACTCCGGAGAGCGCGCAGACTAGAGACCCGGCGTACGAGATCGTTAGTTTTGCAGACACGGGTGAGTAACAGAGTTTATTGCAATACTTGAAAAAAAAAAGCATTAGTCATTTAGTCATTCTGATAAGAGACTTCTACAACGGGGACTGTTTGTTATGAGTTGAAAGCACGGGAAATACATATTTGACCAGACAATCAAACAAGCAAGACTTTAGCATTTATTCCATTACGTTGAGGAAACGTTTGACCAATCCTTTCCGGTTGACGCATCCAAAGTCTTCAGAGCCAGGAAAGGCAAACGTGTACCGTTTTTTATTCCTTTATTTTACCATGTTTAGTCGAGCGTTCGTTATTTACAAGCCTGGAAACCCATTCATACAGAGGCGCACTCTGAGATAAAAGCCCTCCTTGCTGAAGGGGGTGTAACAGCGGCTCCCCATGCCGGGTTTGAACCCGCAATCCTCGGTTGTCACATGAGATTCGAATCGCAGACAGAAAAAATAAAGTAGCGCAGTGTGTTTAAAATCTTTCTTAGAGTGAATTAAACAAGGGCGCCAATGTTTATAGCAAACTTTAATTAACTTCATTATATCACATAATGTCAGTTTACGGACCCGTATCTTTTATAGAGTGGATTATTAGTAAATATTGATCTAAATGCAGTCTTAACGGTGTGTAATATTGCACAATTTTCAAAATGTCACATTTGTGTCTAATACTATTGTCCTCTGTCAGGCCGATAATGTTAATAGCAGTCTTGGGCTCTCGGTCCTTCCTCGCACCCTGAGCCTCTTGGGCAGCACGACCCTGGTCACGACAGGACAGCTTCCGGTAAACGAGTGGATACCGGTGGCAGAAAAGTCCTTCATGCGTCTCGGTTGTCAGTACACACACACACAGAAAGTTTCGTTTGGAGGAATCCCACGCGGCACTACTGCGGGTTTTCTGCGCGCTTTGTTTCTCCACGGATCCAGACAGGGTGTGGAGCCCCACGACACGATTCGAAGCAGTGGAATGAATTAAAAAAAAACAATACGAATGAGTCCAGTATCTTTCTTGAACTGCCTCAACTTTAACAGCTGTTCGGAAACATTAGCCACCCACCGAACAGCCGTGAGTCGTTATGGTTTTCCGAGTTCGTTATCGCTGTCCATTTTATAAGCGATTTGAATACAAACGCTTATTAAAGTCTTCAGCGCCAGGGAAGGTTCTGCCAGGAAAAGCTTAAATTTAAGGCTGTCAGCTGACGAGTATATCTCTCGTACGGTAATAAAAGTGCACGTTTTCAACAGAAATTCATCCAGGTGGATGCTGCACATTGGTGGCGGTGGAGGGGATCCCCATTACCTGTAAAGCGCTTTGAGTGGAGTGTCCAGAAAAGCGCTATATAAGTGTGAGCAATTATTATAATTATTATTATTAAATTGTATTTCTTTTAATGCGGTCATGTCGACCTGGCGTTATTAGTGGTTTAATTAACCGCCCCCTGTCGTTACTAGTTTCAGTCTTGACGTAAGCTCTGCTTACTGTACCGTACTGTAATAAATGATAAACACATAAACATGTGAAAGCGGATAAACACGATGACCTTTTACACACTGGACGGCGTGCTGGCGCGCAGATCGAAGCACTCACTCCGACCGGAGAGTCGGCTTCGTCAATGATGATCTACCGACAAAAACATTCAAAAACCGTTATCAGGCTCTTTCTTGATACGACCGGTTGTGTTCTCTTCCGCTTTGTATTATTTCGAACTACTTCTTCTAATCTCGAACTACCGATACATATTTTTTTTCTCAATGCCGTGAAATGCGACGGTCGGGGAAACTCATATATCGTCTGATGTGTAAAGCCATTAACAGCTGCAAGTTCCTCACCGTTTTTTATCTCAACGAAGTCGTAGATTTTTATTTTGAAAGAAACTTTAAGGGGTCGGTTTTGGCACTACTGAGGACTTTCTGTTCTTTGTGTGTGTGGGGGTGCACGACGGCACAAGCTTTTAAGAGGGTGTGTCCCTTTGTGAGGGACCACACCGCTGACATTGTAATCGTGTGAAAACTGCAACACAACACAGATGTTGTACTGCTGGGGGCAGAGCAGTGAGCATTGCTGCCTGGCAGCAGTTCCTGGGCTGCTGTCTGTGTGGAGTCTGTATGTTCTGCTCACATTCGCCTGGGTCTCCTCCAGGTACTGTGGTTGCTGGTAGGCTGACTGGCATCTGGGAATGCGGCCCCTGGCGTGAGTGCGTCTGTGTGTGCGCCCTGTCCAGGGTGTACCCCGCTTTGTGCCCACTGTACCCACTGATCGCCGGGATGGGCTCCGGGCCCCGGACGGGGTGAAGCAGTTGGGAAAGGGATGGAGGGATGCGAGGGCGGCGTGCTTTCGAGAACCCGGGGTCACTAACCCGCCTGACGGCTCTTCTCTCCCTCCCCTCTGACCTCAGACCACGCGGACAGCGCGGCCGGGCGCGGCGGGCTGGCCTTCCAGTTCTCCAAGGAGCGCGGCCAGAGCCTGCAGATCCTGCAGTCCACGCTGTGGCTGTACGTGCGCGCGGCGGAGGCGCCGCGGGGGAAGGCGACGGCGCAGGTCTACGCGGCGGGGCCCGGCGGCGCCAATCGCACGCTGCTGGGCCAGAAGCAGTTCGAGGTGAAGTGGGGCCGCTGGCACACCTTCACCGTCACCCGCGGCGTGCAGGCCTTCTTCGACAGCGGCGACAAGCGGCTGAGGCTGGAGCTGGAGTGCCAGGGGTGCCAGGAGCTGGCGGTGCTGGGCAGCCCGGGCAACTCCTCCCACCAGCCCTTCCTGGTGGCGCAGGTGAGGCCGCGGGACGAGAGCCACGCCATCCGCCGGCGCTCCCTGAGCTGCGGCAGCAACGTCAGCCTGTGCTGCAAGAAGGACTTCTACATCAAGTTCCGCGACATCCAGTGGCAAGACTGGATCATCGCGCCCGAGGGCTACCACATGAACTACTGCATGGGCCAGTGCCCGCAGCACCTGGCGGGGGCGCCGGGCATCGCTTCCTCCTTCCACGCCACCGTGTTCAACCAGCTCAAGGCCAACGGGATCCACACGGCCATCAACTCCTGCTGCGTGCCCATCCAGCGCCGCCCGCTCTCCATCGTCTACTTCGACTCCACGCACAGCATCGTCAAGACGGACATCCCCGACATGATCGTGGAGTCCTGCGGCTGCACATAGTGGGCCCCGTCTCGTCCAGCAGGCGGACGAGGCCAGAGAGCGGGCAAACGCCACCGCGGGGCTCCACCCTCCCCCTCGGACCTTCAGCCGCCCCCATTCCCACGGCTAGCCGAGCGTCCAGCGCCGTGTCCCCTTCATCTTCAGGCACCTCCAGCCCGGATGCCTGTGGGACGCTGGACAAGCCAGAGGGAATTCCAGGAGGGGGTCTTTGCAGAGGCTTTGAAACTTTGTCTTCCTTCTTTTTTTAAAAAAAAAAACAACAACATGCATGGTCAAAAGCCATGCAAAGACTGATGTTCTTTCATCATGTCTTTGCAACGTCTTGCTTAAGGGCTCGTTACATTTAGAACTTTGACATTTCTCCGCGGCCGATGTGCGATTTTCAGCTAACGGAAAGGAAGAGAGACAGTAAATCGTACCCCGGGGGTGTAAAGGTGGTGGGGCTCATTCAGGGGCACCCAGATTTGGAGGTACGCGAGACTCTGGGACTTGGTTGCTTATTAAAACATTATTGGCTGGAAACATAAAGGCAGGTTCCCACAGAGAGAATAAAGCCAGTGCAGGCACTGCAGAGGGCTGTGGTGACAAGACCGGGCTCACAGAGGCAAGCTGTTGCTTTCTCCCTGTGTCTTCCAGCTCCGTACGTCATACAGACTACATGAGCATACATGTTTTGTAGATGTGAGAGGGAAGACTGAAAGCAGGCATGGCTTATTTTACAGAGCAATCGTGTTACATGTCAGAAGCAAGGGAAAAGGGTAGCTGTGAGTTCCGAGAGAGCTAGGGTCAGAAAGAAAGAAACTGTGAATCAGAAAATTACAAAGCTTTGAAAATTTACAATTCGAAGGGGGGCGGGGGGATGCTGGAATCAAACGGACCTTTCAGTGAGGGATGTTGCAAGTCTCTCAGCTGTGGAGACGCGGTTTTTGAAAGGGACAAGTGAGCATTTCCAACCTTTGCCACATTGGTAGCAAAGGGGTCTTATCTACATGCTCTATTGCCCTGCTTGTCCCACATGCTCTCCAAGGTGAGCCAGTGACTGGGAGCGTTATCTAGGAAGGTGCTTACGTGTTCACATATCAGGAGCTCTCTGTGTCGCGCCGGTGGCACAGCTGATGTGCTGTCCTTGTGAAGTTTGGCCTTTACCAGAAGTCAAAAGTCATGACGTGCCAATGGAGAAACGAACCTGAAACCAGGCGTACAGCGAGGTAGGAGCTAGGAGAGTGGGAAGGTGGCAATGGGTCCAGACTGAACCAAAGCCCAATGTGCCTTCTTCTCCATTTTGAGTAATAGGTCATGTAGGCGTGAAAGCCAGATGTCCAGGTAGCCTGAGACTGTATTGGAACAGGACAGTATTGACCAACTTCAACAGGTTCCAATATCGTCTCACGTTATGTGCTCTATCCAAAAAGAAAGAAAGACCTGGAGGAAGATGCTGAGATGTTTGCTCCTAGTCTGGGATTACTCCTTTCAGTCAGTATTTCAGCACCAAAAAATACAGCTTTGCATGGTCTAATGAAAGACTTTTTCATGCAATTTAAATGCATGAAAAGGCATTATTGATTCTTTAGTCAAAACGTGGGTGAACGTAACTCCTGATGGCATATACTCTAGTTTGAGGGCAAAATAATGAGGAGAGTGGTGCCAGATGTGTGCAACATTTAATCAGACACTGGACGAGCCATCCTCTGTTACTCTCCACGGAGCAAGGGTGCACTTCTGTCACGTGCCAAACATGTCCCCACCCTCCCGGGGTGATGTGAGGGGGATAAGATCATGAAAAGACTTTCATAACTAATCTCTCAAGATCACGTCAGGCTGGCTCCTGTAGGACAGAGATAAGCAGAAACTTTCATTTACCGAGAGCCCTCTTGTAGTGACAAAAAGAAGCCATTCTGATAGTGGTTCAGCTATTTTCCAGTTTTTCGTTCTAAGTTTATTTTCTCCTTCCTTCGGAGGTGTTAGCGGGACGAATAGGGAGCACTCCCCCTGCTGTCTGTGTGGGTCCTCTTGATGTGTGGTGCATGGTGAGCGAACTAGCGCACTCTGGCTGCCATCACATCATCTAGGCGGGGCTACACGTGGTGGTGGAAGGGAGTCCCAATTGGCAGTAAAGCACCTGGAGTTTCCAGAAAAGCACTACTAAAGAATTATGTTCTCCAATTGTAAATAATGTTGTTAATGCCCAGCCCCTTTCCCAGTGTGAGCCCATTCTCTGGGGTCCACTAGCAGGTGCAAGGGGGGTGACAGAAGCTGAGGTTGTGCAGGATCAGACTAGACCATTTCCAAAAGACTGTCCCGCATCGAACACATTCAAAGCGTCTCCCAGTTGGTCATCCAGTGAGAAAGTCTTTCTGTTCCTCGACGACTGCCAGTAGACCAAAACAAGGGATCTGAGTGAGGTCACAAGTGACAGAGAGCCGCTTCAAATGGCAAAGCTGGTCGGAGGAGGTTAGTAATCCCAGCATGTAGTGATGGATCACTAGTGCATCAGCCTCCATGTTTTTTTGTGTTTTGTTCTCTAGTGTTTTGGCACAACCAACAGTGCAAGATTAGAAATTAAGCATCAGGGTGTACAAACAATCCCCAAGGTCAGTATAGATTTTTGAAAAATTATTCTAATACCCACTGCACTGTATTTACACATCTCCTTAGTTAGGCAACAGGGCTCACCGGTATGAACTCAGTGGTATTACTCAACAGCGTGTGTAAACATTTGGCTATTGCCACAGCCTCAGGAAATGTGAAGGTCCTGGAGGATGACAGTCAATAGGTGCTTGGTAGAAGCACGTCTGTATCTGCCATGGGGGGGGGACATTTGGGGTAATATCAGCCATTGTGGTCTTCTATGGCAGATGGGGAGCACACGTCTCATTTAGGCACGTTCCATTTCAGCACCGCCTTACAGCAGTAAGGAGACCTCATTATCACATGCCGAAAGCCTGTTTAAAAGAGATGTTTTACCTCTTTCACAGTTTTCTTGATCTGTTCTGCCGGAAATCCTTTTGATCTGAAGACATAAAGCAACCTTTTAAAAGCAGGTGATGGTTTTTAAAATGTTGCTCTTGAAAGCAAAACAGGGCAACTGACTATGGGAGAGCCATCTGTAAACTTGAATGATTTCTCCAGGGCACCTCATGCTGCATAAAAGCAAAAAGTCGATATTTTGCTGCTGGAATGAGAAAAAGCGAAAATTTTCCAAGCCGTGTGGTGTTGTGCAGTGAATTCTCCTGTGCATCTGCAGCAACAGGGTTTTCAGAAACAAAACAGGTACATTGCAAAAGTCCTACATTGAAGTGAGGGACTAGTGATGTGCGGGATGTTTGTGATTCAACATAATAAAGACAGACTTAGGGAAATGTCTGCACCTAAAGAAGCATGAAGCCATTGCCTCATATAAACAGATTTCAACAAACAATTTTATTTAACTTCCAAAAGATAAGTGACGTGGAAAATTGGGTTTTAACCCCAGGACAACGTCAGTGGATAGAATAACACACCAATGCCCTCTTTGATGTGTATAAATCTTGGTGACGGAGTAACAAAGGGGAATGTTGTGTATGTGTGTTAGCAGACTGTGAAGTTACCAAGAATCAAAGCTTTAGAGACTGAAAAGCTCCAACAGCACTTCCTACTGGAGTGCCTCTTTAAAAAAATAGCAAGCACTTCCTGTTAACTTGCACCTTTTTGCATGTTATGTGTTTTTTTCTGTGTGTTTTGGTTTGTTTTTTAAGCACTTCCTGACCTAGGTGTAGACAAGCAAGAGAGGCAGTCCATTGCGGTTTTGTCTGTCGGAGGTCTTTCAGTCTCCATTTCAGAGCCAGGCTGACCTTTGCCAAAAAAAAAAACTGTTTGCCCTGCTGGCAATCTGAATCTGCTAGTTTAGGTCTCATGGTAAGAAGGAACCCATAATAAATTATTATCCCCCATCTGGCCAGCTCACAAGCTTACAAAGACAGGCAGGAAATTAAGAATTGAAGGGTCAAGTGTTCTTTCCTCACAATGTATCCACCCAGTCTGGTGACAGTGAAACTTGTTACTGACGTAGAGAGGACACATTTCCATTCCTTTCAGCACAGTGCTGAATCAACAATTTTTGCCCATTGCTGTTCTTTTTCACCTACTGCCTATTACTCTCTCACACAGCTTGCTAGAAATTCATGAATATTTTTTTAGCAGCCAGGGTTTTCAAGGACAAGCCAATAATGAATGCAAGCGCACTTTATTTATCAGTATTGTTTTTGTCAATAAAGAGAAACAGCCGCCTCGAGTCGTGCCATACCACAACCAGGTACAGCTGATTAAAAATTGTTAGTAGTGTTCATCAATCTGCTAACAAATATTTCTATGCTGGAAAGAACTGTTTAGAATTTGCATCTTACTGGAATAGGAGTATGCAGGGGGCTTTAACTGCGCAGAAGGACCAAACTTCTGGACCTCCACCACAAAGTGTAGCGTGGAGACCTCAACTTCGGAGCAGTTCTCACCTCTGCTGTTGTAAAGTTCTCTTTGTGCAGCAGAAAACGTTCCTAACAAAGAAGGCAGGCAGTACTGGTTTAGCCAGACTTGGACATGAATTCATTCATGCTAAAGTACAAACTGGATGTTTTCCAATTGAAGTACAATGAAAAAATCTGCCAACCGTGCTTCTTAAGGGGCTGTCTCAGAGCAAGAGCAATAAATACAAAAAAATGTGCAGGAGATTTTTGCAATACTCGTTGTGGGAACCTGAATTGTTTGTAGATTTACGATTCAGTTTGCCCTCTGTGTAAACTGTGGGCAAACTTCCAGTCCAACACATCTACCAATCCACAGTGGGTGGTTTGTCCACAGGGGACATAGGACTTTTTCAGATATGCTTTACAATTGCAGTATTTTACTGTGTTTTTGTGTTAGTATGAGGGGGGGACATTTTTATTTACTGAAAAATTTAAGAATGCCACTAGCCTTTTGTATAAGTATGTATTTTTGTGTATTCTCACGAGGTTTCAGTAATTTGTGGCTATTTTCTTCTTTAAAACAAAGAGATCTAATAATTTGATGGAAGACCATATTCTC